TACAGCCACAACATGACCTCCCAACTCCTATATTCAGTGCACTGGCCAATAAAGGCAAGCATACCAAACGCCTTCTTCACTATCCTATCTACCTGTGACTCCACTTTCAAAGGACTATGAACCCGAACTCCAAGGTCTCTTTGTTCAGCAACACTTCCCAGGACCTTATGAATAAGTGTATAAGTCCTGCCTGATTTGCCTTTCCAAAATGCAGCACTTCACATTTATCTAAATTAAATTTCATCAGCCACTTCTCAGCCAATCAACATCCTGTTGTACTCTGAGGTAACCTTCGCTGCCCACTACACCTCCAATTTTGGTGTCATCTGCAAACTTATTAACTATACCTCCTATGTTCACATCTAAATAATTTATATAAATGGCCAAAAGCAGTGGACCCAGCACTGATCCTTGTGGTACATCACTGCTCACAAGCCTCCAGTCTGAAAAGCAACCCCCCATCACCTCTCTGCTGCTATGATGCTGCTTGGCCTGCTGTGTTCATCCAGCCCTGCACCTTGTTGTCCCCCATCACCACCCTCTGTCTTCTATCTTTGAGCCAGTTCTGCATCCAAATGGTTAGTCCTCCCTGTATTCAATGTGACCTAACCTTGCTAACCAGTCTACCATGAGGAACCTTGTCAAATGCTGTACTGAAGTCCATATAGATCACGTCCACCGCTCTGCCCTCATCAATCCTCTTGGCTACTTCTTCCAAAAACTCAATCAAGTTATGTTGGAAACTATTTTCTTGTAGAAAACCAAGCTGGCAATTTGTTCCAACAGATGAAATTAAATTTTCCTCTTGGTTCAAGCATGAATGTTAGCAAGGACACTTGCAATGCCGAGTCGTATAAGGATATGGGCCAAAGGTTGGAAATGAGATCAGTTACGTGATTGTTTTGACCAGCATGGATGTGATGGGCTGGAAAGCCCTTTTCTGTGCTGTAGATTTTAATGACAAAAGTAATTTCTTTCTCTTTGAAATATTGACAGAGAATCTGTTTGGTGCACCTGAGGGGGCTAGGGAACTATAGTTTGTCTCCCCTGGAAGGTACAACTTCCAATGGTGCAACACTTCCGCAGAACTGTCCTGAAATGTCCAACTGAAATTGTGTGCTCAAGTCTGTGGAGTGAGTCTTGAACCAATTAACGTCTGACTCAACAGTGAGTTTCTTTCTTTCATGAGTTGTGGGCAACGTGTGACCTACGCTATAAGGCCAGCATTTATTGTCAGCAACAAAAACAGAAATTGCTGGAAAATCAATTCTGAGGAAGGGTCACCAGACCCGCAACGTTAACTCTGATTTCTCTCTGCAGATGCTGCCAGATGCTGAGCTTTTCCAGCAACCTCTGTTTTTGTTTCTGATTTACAACATCTATAGTTCTTTCAGCATTTATTGACTGTCCCTAATTAGCTTGAGAAAGTAAATCCACCAGGGGCAGGGGCATCTCTAGCACAGTTAGGTGGGGAATCCAGGATTCTCTGAAGGAGCGGTGAAATATTTCTCAGTCAGGGGAATGATAAACACCAAAACAAAATATTGTGTGTGCTAGTTATCTGTTTTTATTCCAGAGTGCTGGTGAAACTCAGCAGGTCTGGCGAAGAAGTCATACTAGGCATGCAACATTCATTCTCTTTTGATCTCCACAGAGGCTGCCAGATTTGCATAACAACTAATGTAATTGATATAAACCATAGGCAAATCGTTAGTTTCTTACAAATAATATTAAAATAAACAAAAATGTTGCCCAATTTCCATGATATGTAATAGCATTTAAATTATCAGCTATAGTCCAAATGCAATTCAACAGAAAGTCCTTTACAAGGTGGGTGGTGTGAATTTGGAACTTGTTACCATGGAAATGTTTGGAATCAATGCCATGGATGTACGTTCGGGGGAGCTAGATAAACACATACAAGAGAAATTAATAGATGGTCCCAATGATAGGGTGAGATGAGTGGCACGGAACAGGTTTGTGTGAAGTGTAAACACCAACTCAACCTGTTTCTGTGCTGCATGTTCTGTGTAATATGATTCTGAAAATTCTGACGTTATTAAGGATGGTTGTTGATTTGCTTACTCATCATGTGATTAAACTGAAAAAAGAATCCTGCATTCCTTTGGCTGCTGCATGTTTACTGATATCTAATGACAGAATAGTATGACTCTTATGGACAGTACAACATGGTACGCTATCATTTAACGGCTTTAGCTAGTCCTGCATGGCGATACTGTGATTACTGTTCCCCCATCTGAAATAGAAGAGTAGAAAAATTAATAGGGTTTGAATTTTTACCTTGAATTTCTGACACCTTTTGAGATAAGGAGATGGAGGTCATGTATTCCAGTTGTGGCCTCATGAACGCCCTGTACAGTTGTACGGTTGTACATAAGAACATAAGAAATAGGAACAGGACTAGGCCACCTGGCCTGTCGAGCCTGCTCTATCATTCAATAAGATTGTGGCTGATCTTTTTGTGGACTCATCTCCACTTATCCGCCCACTCACTATAACCCTTAATTCCTTTACTGTTCAAAAATCTATCTGTTATTGCCTTAAGAGCATTCAACAAAGTAGTCTCACCTGCTTCATTGTGCAGGGAATTCCACAGATTCACAACCCCTTGGGAGAAGAAGTTCCTCCTCTAATCAGTCCTAAATCTGCTCCCCCTTATTTTGGGGCTGTGCCCCTAGATCTAGTTTCACCTGCCAGGGGAAACAACCTCCCAGCTTCTATCTTACCTATTACCTTCATAATTTTATGTGTTTCTGTAAGATTCCCCCCTGCCGTTCTTCTAAATTCCAATGCGTATAATCCCAGTCTATTCAGTTTCTCCTCATAAACCTCATAACAAGACTTCTCTATTTTAAAGTCTGATACCTAGGCCCAAATTCTATTAATCACCTAAATTACTTGCTGCACCAGCGTGCTAACTTTGTTTTGTGCACAAGAATGTCCAGATCCCTCCACTGCACTGTTCTGTCTCTACATTTAAATAATAGGCTACCTTTTGATTCTTCCCACCAAAGTACATGACCTTGCACTTTCTGACATTAAACTCCATCTGCCAAGTTTTTAACTGCTCACTTAACCTGTTTATACCCCTTTTGTGGATTGCTGAAGTCCTCATCACAGCATAACCTTTCACCTACTTTTGTATCATCAGGAAATGCGGATACATTACACTCCCTCCTGCAGGTCATTAATGTAGATATTAAATAAGGCCTTAGGACTGATTCTATGGCACTCCACAAGTTATATCTTTCTAACCTCAAAAGACACCTGTTAATCCTGACTCTGGCTTTTATGTGTTAACCAATCCTTAATCTATGCAAATGTATTACACTAAAATCTGTGACCTTCTGTCTTGAGGGATAACCTTTTATGTGACACCTTATTGAATGTCTTCTGGAAATCCAAATACCTTTATATCAACCACTTTTATCGACTCTGCTTGTTATATCCCGAAGGAAGTCTAGCAAATTTGTCAAAAATCATTTTAATTCAACAAAACCATGTTGACTCTGAATATGTTCATCTTTTTCTTAAATACCTTGCAATTTTTCTGTAATAGTAAACTCTAGTATTTTCTTTTCTGTAATAATGGACTTTTTTTTATGCGATCTGCTTAGTTGGAAACATAAAGTCTATGACTAAACATATGTCTATAACTTCAGCCACTAGATGTGAGAAAATTGTTACCTTGATAATTGCCATGGCTTCGAAAAGGTGTTCATTAATACCAGTCAGCACAGGATATTTCCCAGCACTGATGTTACAATCAGATTTTCAGGGCTGTAGACTCTATAATGACTGAAAGCAAGCCTTTGGCCCAACAACTCCATGCGAGTCTGCACATTTATGCTCCACTCGAGTCTCCTCCTGGTCTATTAATTAAACTAACCCTATCAATACAACCTTTTCCTTTCGCCCTTCTATGTTTACTAAAAGCAAGTGTTCATATCTTACCAGGACAACTGGGATAGTTAATTCAATTTATAAGTTTGATCCAATTTCACTAATAATAATCATGAGCCTACTAGATTGTTGAAAAAAAACAAATCTGGCTCAATAACTGTCCTTTACGGAGGGAAATTTGCAGTCTCTACCTGATCTAGCTGAGTTGCAGTTCCAGGTACACAGCAATATGGTTAACTCTCAACTGCCCTGTAAGTACCTTAGCCACCCACTCAGTTGGATCAAACTGCTGCAGAATAGCATTTTGCATCACAATGAACTCACCATCTTCTCAAGGGCAGTTAAGGATAGGCTATAAATACTGACCGTGTCAGCAGCATCAACATCGCAAACATGAAACAAAAACCACAAAAATCGCCTCTTCGGTCATAGAGGTATACAGCATGGAAATAGGCCCTTCTCCTTGGTGCATTGGCCAAGCTGATCAAGATCCCGTACTGTTAGATAACTTGCTTCCCTGTCCACCGTATCAGCAGTTTTGGTGTACAACTGTACTTTTCACCTCTACCACTCTGAGTAAGGAAATTTGTCCTGAGTTCCTTATTAGATTTAATAGTTCCTTGTTTTGAATTCCCTGTGGAAATACATATTCTACAACCACCATACCAAATCTCTTCATTATTGTGAAGACCTCTTAGCTGTTGAATCTAGTGTTGCTGATGCAGTTATGCTCAATATCTGCCCTGTTCATCATAATTTGGTACATTTGAATAGTTAAGTATTCTGTTGAGGTAAGTGCTAATATTTTGCAACATGGATCTCACCAAGAGTTGTTAACTGGATTACTTAAGGTAGAATCACATTTCTGGAATGCTCATCTTTCTAGCTGAGGCTGTCAATTTCTTTCTGTGGTCAGGCAAGCACATTTATTACAAAGGTTTTGAAACGTCAGTCATTGGATTGCTCTGGTTAGTCTGCATGAGTCAGTATAAGAGGTAATGTCATAGGTTTAATCTTGAGGAAACTAGCTATTCTCTTGTTTGTTAATTTTAATATTATTTACTGGCTATTGTCAGGCACTCACTGAACCTGTTAGAACGAATCAGTGCAAACGCCATCACAACCATCCTGCATAAAATGATAGAGGAACATGTGGGCAGACTGTGTCGTGGAGAATATGAAAACTCCTTTCTCTCCCAGCTAGAGGAGGTGAGTGTGTCAGAATTGGGAAATGAACACAGCGCATTGGGTCTTTACTTGCTAAGTCACAAAACTTTCTTTGTAGTTTACAAAGTTATAACTTTGAGTTTTTTTAAAATTTGAGTTGGAAGGCCTCCCAGATAAATTGATGTTGTGGATACTGAAGGTGTTGACCAGTATGTTATTGTATCTGTATGTAGTTTCTTTGTCTTGACCTGAAAAATCCAACCAAGGAAGTGAAAACTTGCACATAACTTGAATATTTGTGCTGCAAATTCTGGTCACACATTCTATAATCCAGTGAATTACTAGTACAGATTATAAAAAGGGAACTGAAAGCTGGAAATCTGAAAGCAAATTAGAAAATTCTGGAAACGTTAATGTTTGTTTTAAAAAAGAAAATTATAATGTGTCAGGTGGAATTTAGTTCTGGAATTGTGTGCCACTTGCATTGAAAAGATGTGCTTGAAATATGAAGCTATCCTCCTTCAGATGCTTGTTACCCTTTCAGTGTCAGCCATGGCTCACTTGGTAGTATTCTTGCCTTTGAAACACAAAGTTCTGTGTTCAAGTGCTGTTCCAGGGCTTGAGTACAAAAAGCAGAGCTGACACTCTAGTGCAATACTGAATGTCTGTTGCACTGTCCATTTCAAATGAGGTAATCAATCAACGCCCCCATCTGGAAACTTGGATGGATGTAAGAGATCCAATGCCACTATTTTGAATAGGAATATGGGAGTTTTTTTGGTGTCCTGGATAATACTTATCTCTCAAACGACATCTCAAGCAAGTCGATTATCTGTCATTATTTGAGTTCTATTTGCGGTAGCTTGCCCTGCCCAAAATGGCTGCCATGTTCCCATGTTCCCATGTTCCCTACATTACAATGACTATATGACAAAAGTGCTTCAATATTTATAAAGCCTTTTGAGATGTCTGGTGGTTGTGAATAATGCTTTAAAAATGTAAATCTTTCTTCTTTTCTGTATTTCCTGTGAAATTACTTGCATCTCTACATTCGTCCCATGAAATTACTTTGGAGATATACAACATTCTGTTATTAAAATATCTTAAATAACTGTAGTAAATGCCCCCACAGTATTTCATTATCTTTCATGGCCTACTATACACATATGTTTGGGAATGAAGTAGTTTCTTGAGCTCCGTATTTTCCAGAATCCTGGATTTAAAGCTCTGGTACTCTGACTCAGTCTTTAAAGTCTACCAACATTAGTTTAGACAAATATGCAAGAACTGAGATAAGATCTGAAAACATTAGAGAGATTCAGTAGATTTGGCAGTCTCTGTGGAGAGAGAAGAGGAGTTAACATTTGAGTTCAACATGATTCTTTTTCTACAGAGGCTGCCAGACCTGAGTTTTTACAGCACTTTGTGTTTTTATTTCTGATCTACAGTACTTTCACAAAAATAGCTTAGTGCACCTTTACAGGAATGTAATCAGGATTTTAAGGATTAAATTAAGGAGTAAGATTGCATAAAACAGAGTAACGATTTGTAGAAGGGTGATTTAATTGAGGTTTGTAGAATTTGAGAAGGATTTGATAGAGTAGAAAGAACCTATTTCTGCTGGTGAGGGTACCTAATGAGAGAGAATATTTTTAAAATCAGAGCCAGGCCATTCAGAAGAAACTTTAGGGTAACCTTCTCCAACCAAATGGTAGTGGAAGATGGTGTGCTTTCCTACCAAAAAAGTAAATAATATAGTAATTATTTTTCAATCTAACCTAATTTTTGCTAGACATATGTATTAAGGTACATGGATCCAGAGCAAGTAAATGGAATTGTAATATATATTAGCTATGGTTTCACTGAATGCTGAAACAGGCTCCAGGGTTTGAATGGTCCACCTCTGTTCTTATAATCAAGACTTGGGCAGTCTTCCTCTACAGGTAGTTCTGCTATAACACGTGTTTCGTTAACACGAATTCGCTGTAACGCGATTGATGAATAGTGGACGCTGTTTGCGAACTTTCTGCTGTACAGGTATAGCAATTTTCTATAGCGATTTCCCTATCATGTGATTTTCTGTGGCAATTTTCTATAGCACGGTCACATGAACACAACTATCGCGTTATAGGAGAACTGCCTGTATTCTGAAATGAGAAATCATAATGGAGTGATTAAGCAGGGCAGATTATAATGGAAGGCACAAATATCTTGAAGTGATACTGGAGTTTTGTCTCTTTCTGTTTAGTGGCTGGAATCAAAGGTAGTTTGTTGGCTGAGCATGGTGTTTCTGCAGAAAACCAACACAAAATCATCATCCTCTCAGACAAGCAGCACATTACAACGCTGGAGAATACACCTGCAGTTTTTTCTTTACCAGGTGTATGCAAATATGAGGATTGAGGAACTTTTCAGCATTATTCGTGGTAAGTGAATTCAGTTACATTTTCATGGCTCATATTTGAGGATACAAAGTTTAGCATATTTAGTCAGTTTTGCATTTTCAGTAATATCAGTGTTTTCAGTTTACATGTACCCCCATCTGAACTATTCCTGACATGAAACAGAGAAACAGTTTCCAGTCAACTGCTGCTTGCAGAAGTACCTCTTCCAATTTCTGAGTAGCTCATGATTGTGAGATTCAAATTACTCTGATTTTTCTCATTCCTAGACCTCTATCCTTGTCCTGGAATCAGTGGCCTGATGTGTGGAAATGGGAGCAATTGTTGGAACTTCGGTGCTGACACTGTTCCAACTGAATTAACAGTGTTCAGTTTTACTCAAAACCCCTAAAGGCATTTTAAGTCATATATGTGTGGATGTATATGCATTCCATATATGCATATGAAATTCATGTGATTTTGTTACAATGCCCATTTTCAGTTGCGTTTGATTAAAATGCACATTATATTTTACTTAGGCTCAGAAAACAATGTTTCTTTTAGAAGTTGTTGGTTTTTAATTTGTTTTGAACTGCAGATTTCCCAGAATCCAAAGCAGCATTGCAGGATCTGAAAGTCTGCCTTGAAAGGACCAATCAGAGACAACAATTACTTTCATCTCTAAAAGCAGCTCTGGAAACCAGACTTCTCCACCCAGGTTTGTTCCGATTATGCACGCTATCTAAAATATGCAATACAAGCTGAGTAGGCTTTGGGAGTAATGCAGCTTTCGTTTGACTTTGGAAAAACATATTTATTTGGGTGAACAAGGTGTACAGCTGGATGAACACTGCAGGCCAAGCAGCATCAGAGGAGCAGGAAAGCTGACATTTCGGGTCTAGACCCTTCTTCAGAAATGGGGGAGGGGAAAGGGATTCTGAAATAAAAAGCGAGAGAGGGGAAGGCAGATAGAAGATGGATAAAGGAGAAGATAGGTAGAGCGGAGACAGACAGGCCAAAGAGGCGGGGTTGGAACCAGTAAAGGTGAGTGTAGATGGGGAGTTGGGGGTGTGGTAGGTCAGTCCAGGGAGGACAGACAGGTCAAGGAGCTGGGATGGGGCTAGTAGGTAGGAGATGGGGATGGGGCTTGAGGTGGGAGGAAGGACAAGTTAGGGAGGTGGGGACAAGCTGGGCTGGTTTTGGGATGCGGTCGGTGGAGGGGAGATTTTGAAGCTTGTGAAGTCCACATTGATACCATTGGGCTGCTGGGTTCCCAAGCTAAATATGAGATGCTGTTCCTGCAACCTTCGGGTGGCATCATTGTGGCACTGCAGGATGGACATGTCGTCCAAGGAGTGGGAGGGGGAGTTGAAATGGTTCGCGACTAGGAGGTGCAATCGTTTGTCCCGAACCGAGCGTAGGTGTTCCGCAAAGCAGTCCCCAAGCCTCCGCTTGGTTTCCCCGATGTAGAGGAGGCCACATCGGGAACAGCGGATACAGTATACCACATTAGCAGATGTGCAGGTGAACATCTGTTTGATGTGGAAGGTCTTCTTGGGGCCTGGGATGGGAGTGAGGGGGGAGGTGTAGCACTTCCTGCGGTTGCTGGGAAAAGTGCGGGGGGTGGTGGGGCTGGTGGGGAGTGTGGAGCGTGGAGCAGACCAGGGAGTCACGGAGAGAGTGGTCCCTCCGGAAAGCAAATAAGGGTGGGGAGGGAAAAATGTCTTCGGTAGTGGGGTCAGATTGCAGATGGCGGAAGTGCTGGAGGATGATGCATTGGATCCGGAGGTTGGTGGGGTGGAACGTGAGGACGAGGGGGATTCTGTTTTGGTTGTTATTGCGGGGAGAGGGTGTGAGTGATGAGTTGCGGGAAATGTGGGAGACATGGTCAAGGGCGTTTTCGACCACGGTGGAGGGGAAGTTGCGGTCCTTGAAAAACAAGGACATCTGGAATGTCCGGGAATGGAATGCCTCATCTCAGGAGCAGATGCGGCGGAGGCGAAAGAATTGGGAATAGGGGATGGCAGTTTTGCAGGAAGATGGGTGAGAGGAGGTGTGGGAGTTGGTAGGCTTGAAATGGATATCGGTTTCTAGGTGGTTGCCGGAGATGGAGATGGAGACAGAGAGGTCCAGGAAGGAGAGAGAGGTATCGGAGATGGTCCAGGTGAACTTAAGGTTGGGGTGGAAGGTGTTAGTGAAGTGGATGAACTGTTCGAGCTCTGCGCAGGAGCACGAGGCGGCGCTGATACAGTCATCGATGTAACGGAGGAAGAGGTGGGGGATAGGGCCAGTGTAGCTCCGGAAGAGGGATTGTTCCACGTAACCTACAAAGAGGCAGGCATAGCTTGGGCCCATGTGGGTACCCATGGCCACCCCCTTTGTCTGTAGGAAGTGGGAGGAATTGAAAGAGAAGTTGTTGAGGGCGAGGATGAGCTCACCTAAGCGGATGAGGGTGTCAGTGGAGGGGGACTGGTCGGGCCCGCGGGAGAGGAAGAAGCGGAGGGCCTTTAGGCCATCTGCATGGGGAATGCAGGTGTATAGGGACTGGACGTTCATGCTAAAGATGAGGTGTTGGGGACCAGAGAATCGAAGGTTTTGGAGGAGGTGGAGGGCGTGGGTGGTGTCACGAACGTAGGTGGGGAGTTCCTGGACCAAGGGGGAGAAAATGGAGTGGAGATAAGGTCGGTGGGGCAGGAGCAGGCGGAGACAATGGGTCAACCAGGGCAGTCAGGTTTGTGAATTTTGGGAAGGAGATAGAAGCGGGCGTTGTGGGGTTTCGGAACGATGAGGTTGGAGGCTGTGGGTGGGAGGTCACCTGAAGTGATGAGGTTGTGGATGTTCTGCGATATGATGTTTTGGTGGTTGGGGGTGGGGTCATGATCAAGAGGGCGATAGAAGGAGGTGTCAGAGAGCTGGCGTCTGGCCTCGGCGATTAAAGAAGTAAGCGTGGAGGCAGAGGCGGCGGAAAAACTGTTCAATGTCCAAGCGTGAGCGGTATTCGTTGATGTTAGGGTGGAGGGGGATAAAGGTGAACCCTTTACTGAGGACTGACTGTTTGTCCTCAGTGATGGGGAGGTCTGGGGGGATGGTGAAGACCCGGCAGGGCTGGGTACTATTGTCTTCTCTGCAGCTGCTGGCTGTGGAGGCAGTGGGCGGAGCGACGTCGGCGTCAGCGATGGGCGGGACGACGTCAGCGTTTATTTGGGTTAATGACTGTTACCTTACTCCAACAAAAAACAGTAGAAATGCCTCATCTTTTACTGCTTTTAGGAACTTGAATTTAGAGTCTCATTATATATTTTTGTCGACCATGGAGCCAGTAGTTGTACAGCTAACATTCTCTTTAAGAAGTGTGCATGTGTGGCTGCTCAACAGTCTTAAAGGAAACATGCAGTACAACGAACAGATATGCACAGCAAAACATAAGGGTTGTATTCTGACAGAACATTACATGTAATTTTAGCTATGAGAATTTTAGACGTAGAGTTGAGGAAATTTCCACAGAATTCAGAAAAGCATTACATTTAAATTTTTATTTAATAGGAACGTATATTCATACAAGCCTAATGAGAAATACTTAGATAAATAGTGTGTCAAAGCTTAGTTGATTACAGTTCCTACATATACATGTCCAGCAGAAGTTGTTGGGGTTTAATTTAGCAAGGGGTTTCTTCCAATTTTCTCTTTCCTCATTGAGGCTGTTGCTGATCCCAGATATTGGACATAAATACCGATGCCGCCGTGACGTGAAGTAACAGCGCATAGTGAGGATTGAATTTGGGTGTCTGCCTACATTTATGATAGATTGATAGGCTCAACAGGTAGCCCAGAAAATCATTCTGAATGCTGTAGGTTAAGGCAACTGTTTCTGTAACAAAGGCCATAATTTTACTCAACATTTAGTATTATATTACAACAGGTTGACCAACTTCTTCACTTGGAAGCAGCATTTTCTCTCACTTGGGGAAGGTGGTGTTGCTGAGCAACTTACAGAAAGATAAAGTTTTTCACAACAGCAAACATGAATTTCAGAAAAAAAGGTTAAAACAATTTATTGATCATTTGAACGTGTAATGAATAAATGTGATCAATAACATGTGCCAAGCAGTAGAACTAACTAAAGTGGGAATCAGATTTGGGTTGCTTTTCAACCTGATATTTCCTCGTCTCTCAGTCTACTTTGTGAATAGGTTATTACAGAAGTGGGGTGAGGAGAAGGAGGGTCTGTGTGTGTACAGCTAATTCAGTCACCCACTCAGCACTGCCAGTCAGTCACTCACTCACCTACTCACTCAGCTAGCCCCCTGTCAGTAACCCAGCCAACCAGCCCTCCCAGTCAGTCACAATCCACCTATCTTATCAACCAGTCAGTTAGTCACCCACCACCCAGTCAATGTCACCCACCTACCTAGAACACCCTCAGGCAGTGTCAGCCAGTTACCCAGCACCCTCCCTGCTGCCAATTCCCCAGAAAATGTTGGATGCTGGAGTGGGGGTGGGGTGGTGGATGTTGTGACCACCCACCCAAAGAAGGAAAGCTAGTGATAAGCTGACAGACATGGAGAAAGTCAGCCTTGCATCCACAACGTGTTGCTGGCAGGCAGGCTGAGTTTGTTGAAAGTGGAACTTATATTTCTTACTGGAACTCGGCCAGTACCAGCAGTGGTGTTGCCAGGACTGCAGACTGTCTCGATAGAATAAGACCATAGAGACCATCAGAAATAAGAACAGGAGTAGGCAGTTCGGCCACTGAGCCTGCTCCATTCAGTAGGATCATGGCTAATCTGACACTTCTCACATCCACTTTTTTGTCCTTCTCCCCATAAGCCTTGATTCTCCTACTGAATTTGTCTATGTTAGCCTTAAATGTACACAAGGACTGTGCTCCCACAGCTCTTTGTGGCAAGGGGTTCTAAAGAAACTCCACCCTCTTTGAGAAGAAATTCCTCCTCATCACAGTCTTGAATTGGTGCCCTTTAATTCTGAGACAATGCCCTCTGGTCCTAGACTCTGCCCTGAGGGGAAATATCTTCTCAGCATTTATCCTGTCAAGCTGCTTAAGAATCCCATATGTTTCAATGAGATCAGCTCTCGTTCTTGTAACTTCCAATCAGTACAGTCCCAACCTGTTTAACCTTTGCTTATAAGACAATTCCTCTGTAATGGATACCATCCTTGTGATCCTTTTCTGAACTGCCTCCAATGAAGTAATATCTTCCCTTAAATAAAGGAACCAAAATTGCTCTCAGTAGTCTAGATGTGGTCGCATCAGCATTTTATACAGTTGCAGTTAGACTTTCCTACTCATATACTTCAACCCCCTTGAAATAAGGGCAACATTCCAGATTACCTGCTGCACTTGTATGTGTGCTCCTATATGGATCCTGGATCCAAGCAAGTAGAGGGCATTAGGCAAACAGGAATTTGGCGATCTTGGAAATGGGAGTGAGGATGGGTAGAAGAGTTGGTTTTGATGTCTGTGCAGAGATGGAGGAATGGGTGACATACTATTTTCTGTGGGTTTGACTCTTCTACACGCAGGGCACTCTCCAAAGATAGTACCTTTCCCCTCCTTTCTCACACCATTTAAAAACTTCACAAAATCACCCTGTCCACTCCTGCCTGCCTGTCCATTGCAAATCTAATTATGCTAGGGCAATGTAATGTCAATTCGGCTTTTAACACATCCTGCAGATGCTTAATTAATCATTTACTTACGGTGAGTGGCTTACCGATGTTGGTGTTGGCCCATTTATTGTGGGGATGAGTTCCGAGGTGATGGGTTAGGCTTCTTTCATACTTTCCCCATAATCCTTGATTTCCATACAGAATCTGTCTATGTCAGCCTTAAATGCAAAAAGGACTCTGCCCCCACAGCTGTCTGTGGCAAGGAGTTCCAAAGAGACTCAGCCCTCTGGGAGAAGAAACTCCTCCTCATCGCAGTCTTGAATTGGTCTCACATGTAAGAGATAGGAGAGGTCCTTAATGAATACTTTTCTTCAGTATTCACAACTGAGAGGGACCTAGTTGTAAAGGAGGACGTTGTGAAACAGGCAGGTAGGCTAGAGGAGGTTGATGTTAGTAAAGAAGATGTGCTAGGAATTCTGAGGAAGTTGAAGATAGATAAGTCCCCCGGGCCTGATGGGATTTATCCAAGGATTCTATGGGAAGCGAGGAACGAGATCGCAGGGCCTTTGGCGATGATCTTTTCGTCCTCACTGTCCACGGGTATAGTGCCGGAAGATTGGAAAGAGGCAAACGTCATTTCCTTGTTCAAAAAAGGGAACAGGGATAACCCTGGAAATTACAGGCCAGTTAGTCTTACGTCAGTGGTGGGCAAATTATTGAAAAGGGATCTGAGAGACAGGATTTATGATCACTTGGAATGGCATAGTTTGACTCATGATAGTCCGCATGGATTTGTGAGGGGTAGATCATGCCTCACAAACCTTATTGAATTCTTTGAAGAGGTGACCAAACACGTGGATGAAGGTGGAGCAGTGGATGTGGTATGCATGGATTTAAGTAAGACATTTGATAAGGTTCCCCATGGTAGGCTCATGCAGAAGGTAAGGAGGCATGGGATAGGGGGAAATGTGGCAGATTGGATTCAGAATTGGCTGACCCTTAGAAGACAAAGGGTGGTAGTGGACGGAAAATATTCAACATGGTGCTCAGTTACAAGTGGTGTACCACAAGGATCGGTTCTGGGTCCTCTTCTATTTGTGATTTTTGTAAATGATTTGGATGAAGGAGTGGAAGGGTGAACTAGCAAGTTCGCGGATGATATGAAGGTGGGTCATGTTATGGACAGTGCGGAGGGCTGTTCTAGGTTACAAAGGGACATTGATAGAATGCAGAGCTGGGCTGAGAAGTGGCAGATGGAGTTTAACCCTGAAAAGTGTGAGGTGATTCATTTTGGAAGGAGAAACTTGAAAGCAGAATACAGGGTTAACGGAAAGATTCTTGGCAGTGTGGAGGAGCAGAGGGATCTTGGGGTTCATGTCCCTGAGAGCTGCCACCCAGGTGGATAGAGTTGTTAAGAAGGTGTATGGTGTGTTAGCTTTCATTAATAGAGGGATTGAGTTCAAGAGCCGTGAAGTTATGCTCCAGCTATACAAAAGCCTGGTTCGGCCACATCTGGAGTATTGTGTCCAGTTCTGGTCACCTCATTACAGGAAAGATGTGGAAGCGTTAGAAAAGGTGCAGAGGAGATTTACCAGGATGTTGCCTGGAATGGAGGGAAGGTCTTACGAGGAAGGGTTGAGAGAGCTAGGGATTTTCTCTTTAGAATGACGAAGGATGAGAGGTGACTTGATAGAGGTGTACAACATGATCAGAGGTATAGTTCGAGTAGACAGCCAGAGACTTTTTCCTCGGGTGGAGGTAGCTTTTACGAGGGGACGTAGGTTTAAAGTGAAAGCAGGTAGATATAGGGGAGACGTCAGTGGTAGGTTCTTTACTCAGAGAGTGGTAGGGGCGTGGAATGCATTGCCGGAGAGGGTAGTGGAGTCAGCCTCATTAGGGGCATTTAAGCGGCTATTAGATAGGCATATGGATGATAGTGTAAGGTAGCAGTGGAGGTTAGATAGACCTTAGGTTTAGGGTAAAAGTTCGGCACAACATCATGGGCCGAAGGGCCTGTACTGTGCTGTACTGTTCTATGTTCTCTGTTCTCCCCAAAATGCACACAGCAGCAGAATGTAGATTGCAGTCTGCCCCTCACTCATCCAAACACCATCTGCCAACCTGGCATGTGACCTTCCCAACTATCAACGCTAACTCCCCACCCTGCAGAAAGCACCTGGTGGACTCTTACCTATCCACACTTGCGAGTATGGATAGATGACTCACAGTGAGCCTATCAGAAGAAAAAAAAGTGGGAGGTACTTCTGATTAAAGAACCAGACCCGTTCAAACTCTCCTAGTTGCATATATTTTGAACAATGGCTTGGCAGGCCACAAGGAAACCCCTCAGCAAGCCACATAGTGATCTGCAGTCTGCCTGTGTGTTTTAACTTGCACATTTACACTGTTATACACTCTACATTGTGCCATGTTAACTCGAGGTTAATTTTTGGAGAGGCAGAGCTGAAACACCATTGCAATCCATAATTATTTCGAAGGTTTGATTAATAGGCTCTTATGTGAAGATATATATGTACATAGCAAAAGCTAACATGCTTTGTAGTTTAAAGTATAATATGTAAAATTCCATATATTTCCAAGATGGAATATGGGCTATTTGATGTCATCTGTGCCAAAATTTTGAGCAATGTTATTGTTTTAGGTGGTTGAATCATTTATTTCTTCCAGTTTTCTGCTCTGCTGCAACTTGTGTGGGTGGGGTGTGGTGGTGACTATAACAGCTGAGTTCGTTCCTATTTTCTTGTAAACTCCACACGCACTCACATATATTTCATAAAGCATCACCATGTATAGATCAAGAAAGCAACTTTTTACAAATTTGTTTGTTCTCCCTACTCAAACTGCAGTTGTAGCTAGATTAACTGACCCAGTAGAGAGAAAAGGGATGGATTCTGAAAATGTCTGATGTACGTGCTTTGATCACACATGGTAATGCCTTTATTTGCTTGGACATCAAGTTAATGTGTTGCCCCTACAGAGAAATTATACATTCAAGAATATGAGGAAAGCGACTACATGTGAAACAGCATAACTCTAGACACTAAATTTCTACCACAGATTCAACTTTATCTCTTAAGCTGGTGCTGATCGGTCAAATATACACAGGGCATTCTTGAAAATGTATTTCTAGTGGTTAATGAAGTTAATGTTTCCTTGTTCAGGAGTAAATACTGCTGATGTGATAACCTTGTACATATCTGCAATCAAGGCCCTTCGTGAGTTGGACCCATCGATGGTTATTTTGGAGGTGGTGTGTGAACCAGTCCGCAAGTATCTAAGGTACAGTATTGTGTTTTCAATACAATATTGTATTTCAGTGGGTGATATGATCCCATTTGGAGGATTGAACTTGTTCGGAGGCGGTGAGGGAGTGGTTGAGGGGTACCTTCAGCTCATAATTAGTAATTATTTTTATTGAAATGCCAAAATTAAGCAAAACAGGCACATCATAGTCTTTAACACTGTATCAGAATGTCAGAATTGAACAAAGCTGCATACTAATGAAGTTGTGACATCTGGGTAGTTGCACTTCATGCCAAACCAGAATTATGTTGGAGAAACTCTGGAAAATGTTTTTTTCCAAAGTTTGATGACATGAAATTTCATTCAGCTGCTCAATTTCAGGTGCAGGCCAATCCAGCTGTTCAGGCTGACGTTGAAAAAGGTTTTTGATCCAAGCAAATGTTGCCACATCCAAATTGGAATAAAGGATATGTAGTGTATCTCCAGGTGACTGAGATGAGTTGGTCATAGCACTGTTCAATGTCATTTTCAGAGAGAAATTTGGAAAGTAGGGGAAAGAGTCAAAATTCAATCTCGGCATGTTACTGTTCCAGAATGCAGTTTTCTTGCAAATGCTGTGAGCTGATCGCTCAGTTGCAGAATGTTTGTGTTCTTTCATTGTGTTCTTGTATTCAGTTCATTTGGTATCAGCTATGTCTGCAAAATAAGCAAGTGAACACTCGTATTTTGATCAGAGGCAATAATTGAATTCATTTTCTTCTCGTTGATTTTAAACATAAGCAGTTGATCCCTCCGTTTCAAGCACCTTTGCTGTACTCTTCCTAATGACAGCCAGTGGATCACTGTGTATAATCACAATATATCATGATTTTTCCCATATTTGCACATTTTTGCAATTAGATGCACACAGTTTGGGTGAGGGTTCAGTGTAGTTTGCAATCGATGTGACTTGGTGCAATACCTCACCAAGCTCCGTGCTCAGTACCAGTTGTTTCCTGTGAATCGAACAGTGAGACTAAATAGTATGTGATTTATCGCTTGCCATAGCTACAGCACCATCATGCAAAATCCAACCAGGCAGTGCCAAAGAATATCTTTTTCTCCATAATAGTTCTGTAAAATATTGAATATTCCCTATACATTTGCATGTTCAAGAATGCAATACAAAACAGAAAGTCTTCAAGATGATTTTTCTACATGTATCACACAAAAGCCAAGACTTCATTGTTTAGATTTTTGAGTATAGGAGTTGGAAAGTCATGTTGAGTTTCTACAGGACATTGGTGAGGCCTCTTCTTGAATACCATGTCCAGTTACAGTTGTCCTTATAGGAAAGATATTATTAAGTTAGAGAGGGTTCAGAAGAAATTTAGGATGTTGCCGTGAATGGAAGGTTTGAGTTATAATGAAAGGCTGGATAGTCTGGGATTTTTTTTCACTGGAGTGTAGGAAGTTGAGAGGTGACCTTACAGAGTTCATATAATCATGAGGGTTGATGCTAGGTGTATTTTCCCAGGATGGGGGAATTCAAGGCTGGGGGCATAAATTTAAGGTGAGAGGAGAGAGAGTTACAAAAGACATGAGGGCCAAATATTTTCTACGCAGAAGGTGGTTCGCATGTGGAATGAATTTCCTGAGGAAGTGGTGGATAGGGGCACAGTTACAGCATTTAAAAGACACTTGGATAAATACATGAATAAGAAATATTTGGAGGGATATGGCCAGGAGCATGTGGGTGGGACTAGTTTAGTTTGGGATTATGGTTGATATGGACTCGTTGGACTGAAGGGTTTGTTTCTGTGCTGTATGACTCTTTGTGTGCATTACATCCTTTGGTGCTCAGTTGATTTGATGAGCAAAGGCAGATCTGCATTTTATATGTTCCACCAGTGTTGATTTCTGATCAGCTACAGTTTGCTCAATTCTCCACTTCATGGTTTGAGAGGGTTAATGCTGCACATTTCCACCTCCTCAAAAAATTATTTCAATCTTTTTGATTTTACCTGCGACAATCAAAGTTTCAACAATCACGTGAGCCTTCTTGGTTTATGCAATCTGATAACTCGAAATGTTAGCTTGCTTTCTCTCCATGGATGTTGCCTGACCCACTGTGATCGCCAGCATTTTTGTTTTCAGTTAAAATACAAGGATGATTTGCTGCAATTATACAGGGCCTTGGTATAGTTTTGATCCACTGTAATGGCAGAGCTGACATATGAAGAGAGACCGAATTAGTTAAAGACTAGACAGAGTAAATGCAGGGAAGGATGACGGTGGAGTCCCAAACCTGGAGTCACAGTCTAAGGATACAGGGTAGTCCATTTAGGACAGAGATGAAAAGTTTCTTCACCCAGAGAGTGATGAGCCTGTGGAATTCTCCGCCACAGAAAGAGGTTGAAGCCAAAAGATTGAATGCTTTCAAGACAGTGTTAGGTATAGTTCCTGGGGCTAAAGGGATCGAAAGGTGTGCAGAGGAAGTAGGAATAAGTTGTTGATTTTGATAATCAGTCATGATCGTATTGAATGGATTACCCCGTATCATTCCTTCGTGTGCACCCACTCCCACCTTCTCCTTTGGCCAATTTGCTAATTTGTGTGATACACAGTGACCAGTGATTTGATTGGGGTAGTCATTATTCTGCAAGATAGTGTTGATATGGTCTATTTCTGTGTCTAGTTTGCAATGGCTCGGGCTTTATTCACAAGATTGTTGACAAGCCCAATCTTCTAGTGTCTGAATTTGCATGTATCTTGATTGTTGAGAACCCTTTTGAAGATTTTTCAACTAACTCCACCCACTCATTGCCTCAGCCAATCAGAATCAACCTGTCAACACATGTAATTGGTACAAATTGTTGTGATTGTTTGGAATTTACCATTCTTGCAGTTGTTCTGATGTGTGCAACATAAAACCTCTCTCTGTTCAATAATACTGAAGATCTTTGCGTTAACTCAGATGAGAACTAGGTTTAATGAACCTTTGAGCTAGACATAATCCAAGGAGTTCAGCTATTGTGAAAGTCTGAAATAGCATGGTAGATTAGATGTGTTTTTCTTTATTTATTGTCCTTTCAAAGGGGCAGTTCATTTTTAAACTTTTTAAAAGTCTGTTTTTCTGTTTCTTTTTGTTTGTGAATTACCAGGACAAGGGATGACACTGTAAGACAGATCGTAGCAGGTTTGACTGATGATTCGGAAGGATCCAGTGATCTGGCAAATGAACTGTCCAAAGCAGATCCAATCACTCTAGAGCATGGACATGATAGTGATGATGATATGTCTGATCCAGATGATTGGCTTCCTGACCCTGTTGATGCTGATCCAGGTAATTCCTAAAACTCACAAGGAGCAGTAAGCATATTTACCTGTGAATCTGAGAGAAAGATCTTTGAGGCTTTGGAGGATTGAAAGAGTCACTGCTGGATAACTGACCCAAATCACAGAGATGATAGCACATGTTTACATCTGACAACAAATAACCTAGATTTTTGAACTCAAGGGTTGGAGTAGGAGCTGATTCCTGACTCTGATCAGAGTGCTATCAACTGACATTCTAGAAACAAAAACAAAGTTGCTGGAGAAGCTCAGCAGGCTTGGCAGCATCTGTGAAGAAAAAAATCAGAGTTAACATTTTGGGTCTAGTGACCCTTCCTCTGGGAAAATGTCAATTTTCCCAGCCCCCACCAGTTCTGAGGCAGGGCCACCAGACCCGAAACGTTAACTCTTGTTTTTTCCTTCACAGATGCTGCCAAACCTGCTGAGCTTTTCCAGCAACTTTGTTTTTATTCCTGATTTACAGCATCCACAGTTCTTTCAGTTTTTATTTGACAGTCTAGAAATCCCAGTAGCTGATCCCTAGAGGCAACATGATTATGTCTCCAAAATGATTCTCCCTCTAATTTACTTTAAGAAGGGAACTAAGATTGACAGTTCGCTGTTCTTGCTGCATGTTCATGTCGACGATGGTCCAATCAATCAGCATACTCTTCTCATGCTGTATAAATTGGTGTTCCCTTTTATCAGTCTGGTTCTTGTATTCCAGCACTGAGTGCTTTCACTTCTTATCTCCTTTTAGCAGTAGTTAAGTTCCATTTTTCCAACAGTGCAACAGTGACTATGTTTCAGTAAGTACTTAATTGGTTGTAAAACCCTTGGGGCGTCTCAAAGTCATGAAAGTGCTACAGCATGGCAACACTTTTTCTACATTTACTAGTGGAATATTTTGAGTATGGATGAACAGTTGAATGGTTTCTTGTGAGGTCCCGTGCTGGCCAATTGCAAATTGCCCATGATGTGGCCACTTTAAAAATAAAGATATTGCAAATTGAAATAAGCTAAATTAGAGGGCATGTTGATCATGAACCAGTTTAACTTTTACCATGATTTTATGGTAGGTTTTAGGTTTTATGGTGGCTTTAGTTGACACATCACCTGTTGAATTTAATTTGATAACTTTCCATGCTGTGATCTGAACTTCAGCTTGGTGGTCAAGTAACTTAACTGCACTGTTAGGAGGCTAAAGGAAGGGCACAGAAAAATTCTGAAACCAATAAGTGTTTACTGTTTGCAGCCCTTCAAATGACATTCCTAACAACATGTTCCCTTTTTATGTAACAAGAATGAATAAATATTTCTATCTTATAAGTAGGCTTGCAATAGATATCTACATTGTGATACTGACCCCTTTGTACTTTGAATGTCTTATTTAGTTGTGCAGCCTGGATTGGGGTTACTCCTCACTACATCATTTTCATTTTTCCCCACCTTGGTTTCAGGTAAATTTGGTTCTAAGCGAAGATCTTCTGATATCATCACCTTGCTGGTCAGCATTTATGGCAGCAAAGAATTGTTTATAAATGAATATCGTACGCTACTGGCAGACCGAATACTCCATCATTTCAGCTACATTACCTGCAGGTACCAAGATGCTTGCAGTGTTGCATTGGAAATACAAACCATAATTGACCTGCCTGTGGATGATTCTGATTCTGAGAGGTTTCAGATTAATTATCATTGAGGCTGAGTCTACCTTATTCAGAGGACTGTGGTTTCAAGTCCCAATCAAGGGAAGCAGAATGAGCCTTCAAATAGTAACAGCCTCAGATTTCTCCATCTTTATTCCACTATCCAGGAGATCTGAAACAGAACAGAATTGCTGGTGAAACTCAGCAGATCTGGCAGTATCTGTTGGGAGCAAACAGAGTTAACGTTTTGAGTCCAGTGATTCTTCATCAGAAATTATAGCAACCTGGAAAACGTGGCTTTTATGTTGAAGACAAGGTTGGGAGGCGGTTGGAGTGAGTGGATGAGTGAAGACGGAATCCAGGGAGAGAGAGAGATAGGAAAGTGGTACGCAGACAAGGGTAGGCTAGGACAGAACAGAAAGCTGAGATGTTGTTTACATGGACTTTCATAAAGCTTTTGACATGGTTCCACATGGTAGATTAATTTAGTAAAGTTAGATCACATAGGATTCAGGGTGAGCTTGCCAATTGAATACAAAATTGGCATGACAGTAGGAGGCAGAGAGTGGGTGGTGGAGGGTTGTTTCTCGGCCTGTGACCAGAGGTGTTCCACTAGGTTCGGTACCGGGTCAACTTTTGTCATTTCTATAAACAATTGGATGAGGAGGCACGGTAAGTAAGTTTGCGGATGACGCAGAAATTGGTGGTTAGTGAACAGTTTAAAAAAGGTTATCTCAAACTATAAAGAGATCTTGATCAATTGGGTCAATATACTGAGGAGTGGAAGATGGAGTTTAATTTGGATAAATGTGAAACATTGCATTTTGGGAAAACAAACAAGGACAGGACTTATACAGTTAACGGCAGGGCCCTGGGTAGTGTTGTAAAGGTTCTAGGGGTTCAAGTACATAATTTTTTGAAATTTGTGTGACTGGTAGACCGGGTGGTGAAGACGTTTAGCATGCTTGCCTTCATTGGTCAGACCTTTGAGTATGGGATATCATGCTGATGTTGTACGGGACGTTGGTGAGGCCTCTTTTGGCGTACTGGGTGCAGTTCTGGTTGTTCCCATTTCAGTGGTAAATTCAAAAATCCAATGATTTGAACTTTGTGTATATTTTAAATATATTCACCTAGAGAAAGTAATGTTAGAAACTGCTTTTTTTCAACTGGAACAATGCATTTGTAGCAAATGCTTACTGTGTTTAAGTTCTATATAAAATCACTGCACTCAGAGTGCCCATAGGTTACTACATTGTTTTAGGCTGTTTAAAGTCTTTTTTGCAGTTAAAGACAGTGTTTGTGAGATTCTTCTGAAACCTATTGACCATTTTATTTCTATCAGAACTGGTTGAGTCACTGCATATTCTGGGCTGATAAGAATGTTTTGCACTGCATTAATTCTGATTATTCACATCTTGTCAATCTGATGTGACTGCTTCACCACAGGGAGATCCGAAATCTGGAGTTGCTGAAGCTGCGTTTTGGAGAGGCTCAGATGCACTTCTGTGAGGTCATGTTAAAGGTCAGTGGGAAAAATTGCAAGTTAAAGCAGTTTAATGTTATCAAGTACTTTGTGCATCAAGTGAATTTGCCTTGCAGTAGTGTCTTCGGTGAACTTCTCTTGTACGATTATAATTTTGTATCCACTTGTGTTGAAATATTTGCCCTTTTGGGCATGTGGAAAGACTGTGAAAGAAATGGGTGAATGAAATTTATTACTTGAAGAGGAGAATTGAGACTTTAGTGCTGTTTTCAGCAGAGCGGAGAGGTTTAAGATATAGTCATAGTGATCAAGGTAATGAAACAGACAGGCAATGCATTTTTTATGATGCTGATTGACCTACTTTGCATTTTCTGTTTTAATCTAATGTCAGTTTAGTCCACTGTTAAAATGAGCATCCAGCTGTATAATTGTCCCTTTCCAATAGCAGACCTGTGGAGCAAACCTATTCTCCATAACCATGCATTGTGTGTAATTTGCTGAACCTTTGAAGATTTACTCCAATTTTACAAGAACTTATTTATCCTCTTGCCGAGTTAAAGTGAACTCTTACCAGGTCCAGTTCATGATGCATTTCTCTGATGGAATGTCAAATACGCAGATCGTGATCTTTCAGTTATGCAGTATACCTTCCAAATCCACAAGCTCTTCAAAGGACAAAAGCCATAGATGTAGATGATATTCTTGTACAAGTTCTCCAAGCTCCGTACCATCCTGACTTGGAACTATATTGTCGTTCTTTTACCTTCACAGGATCAAATCCCTGGAACTTCCTCCCTAACAATACTTTTGGGCCCAAGGACTGCAGTGGTTCATTCAGGCAGCTCACCACTACTTCCTCCAGGGCAGTTAGGGATGGGCAGTAAATTCTGGCCCAGCCAGTGACACCCTGATCCCAAATACGAATATATATATGCACATAAATGAAATTCTGTGTTGGAATCAGAACATTCAACCATTCTTTTGAAGTCTTAAAATGCCACACAGGTATTTGATTTGGAAGTTAGCATTTCTATTTCTCTTTCCTACTTGGAGGTTTCCTTGTATCATGTATCATTCACTGGTTGTACAGGAATGTTGAGGTCTCCATGTGGCTCTTTAAGCAACTGTTGGAGCTTGCATAAGAATACTTGCAGATCAACTCTTTTTTTTTAATGTATTGTGAGACAGAAAGAAAAGACACTTGTGAATAGGAACAAAAACAGAAGTTGCTGGAAAAGCTCAGCAGGTCTGGCAGCATCTGTGAAGAGACTTTATTATTTATAGTTTTCCACCAACAGAAAACACCCATGTGGCCATTGGGTATTAATGAGCAAAGTCTGTTAAGGACAATGCTGATATCACGGAAGTGAGGGGGGAGGGGGGCAGAGGGGACAAAGCGTCACCTCCAACAGTCGTCTACTACCTCATTATTGCACTGAGTGACAGCCCAGATATTTGTGCTCGAGTCTCCGGAGTGCATATTGAGCCTGATAACTTCTTTCTTCAAATAAGCTAAATTGCCAATCATGTTCAAGGATGTGTAGCTTAGGTGGATGAGCCATGGGAAATGCAGAGATAGGATAGAATAGGATAGGGTAGGGGTGAGGCTGGATAGGGTGCTCTTCAGAGAGTTGGTATGGACTTGTTGGGCCAAATGGCCTGCTTCTGCATTGTAGGGATTCTTAAAAAAAAATCTATTATTATAATCAACCTATTCAGAGAATATTATTACACACCTCTGGAGCAGATGGGACCTGAGACCAGGCCTCCTGGTCCTGGGGTAGCAACAATACCACTATGCCACATGAGGGCCACAGGTCGATTCTACTCTTCGAGAGAAGTCCTTGCACCTGACACTTCTCCAATGCCACAATTGAGCCTGGAGACTCAATACATATAGAATTGTGGTCTTGAGGGTACATCTGAGCAAGTTCTGGCCCAGTGCCATTGTGCGGTAATATGCTGTGCAAGAATGCCAACTTTTCACCTGATCAGCTTTGGAATTTAAAAAAAACCCAACTTCCTTGTGGCTTTTATCCCACTGCTTATTTTGGGTATGGTTGTTTACTTATTCTTGGGATATCAGCATTGCTGGCAATCCTGGTTGACATAAAAATGTTCAATTGGTTGCAGTCCCTGCAGTGTAGGCACTCTCATAATGCATGTGAGAAGGATAAAGCTCTGAGTGTCACTTCACAGGATAATTAATGCTCAGCTATGTTATTTGATTGGAATTGGAAATAGATGGGACTGGGTAGGAGTGGCATGTTTCTTTTCCTGAAGGACATTAGTGAACTAGCTGGGTGTTTTGAATAATCCAACAGCTTTGTGGTCACGTGCTAATACCAACTTTTCATTTCCATTTATAAAATTAAAATCCAACGTCCAAACAGCCATTGTGGAAGCTGTACCTGCATGTTCTGGATTATTAATCCATTCATTCATTAAAGTAAACACTGCAATTCCTTCAAAATAGACTTCATTAATTTTGGGTTTTGTACAACAGGATGTTGCTGATTCTCGAAGGATAAACAGCCACATTCACGAGGAGGATCAAGAGACTCCCTTACACCTGAATGCAATGATCCTGTCTGGTGAGTTCTGGCCACCTTTGAAAGAGGAGAAACTGGAACTCCCCACTGAAGTGAAAGAAGCAATGGATGCTTATACCAAGAAGTATGAGAAATTAAAAGTAAGTACTGAGAATTTATGAAATGACTTTCCTTGGTGACTACAGGTAAAATTTGTAATGCGTTGGACATGCAAACAGCTTGTTTCCATGGTTCAGATGTCCTGGACAAGCAACAGGAGCTCTATCTTCAGCCAGTCTAGCCTACAAAGGCCATAACTGTTTTCCTGGAAAATAACAAGCAGTGTTTGAGTGAGCAAGTATATTTAACCAAAGCGTTCTGTGTGCGGACCTGTTTATAAAGTTGGTGAGAAAACCCATATGCAGCTACTGTTAGAGACTATTCCTCATGGGCAGAACAGATGCCTGGAGGGGTCTCGAGCTCTTGCTCCAGGCAAAGAAGCACAGCACTTCACTTCACTTTGGTGAAAACCTGCCCAATTCACATAATGTAAGACTAAAAGTTGTGATGGGAAAGTGCACAATATAAACTTGCATCTATTTCTCCATTAACATGGGAAAGTGAATGTCTTGAACTTCATCTGTACGAAGCAATACTCTTCCTCTGTAACTGCACTTTACCATGCTCCCTCATAAGCTAGATCCTTTTGTGTTCTTTTGCAATGCGTAGACTTCCAATAGAGAGCATTTTTGGACATTGCAACCGTATACAAGGTCAAGGTGTACGAAAGAAGGTTTTTGATGGAGGTTCAGCATTTGTTGTACTCTGTTTCTGCATTGCAGGCTTCATGATAACAGGTTCCAGAGTTTGTGTTCGCATTTGAGGAGGTGAACTTGAGAAAAATATCAAACTGTTCACTTGTATTTTGATCCTGAATGGATTCTTAGTCACTGTGAACATAGTCTATGCCAGTTACTTCAATGTTTTAAACAAGTTAATGTAATGCAACATAAACTCATGAGATCTTGGAAGGAATGTAAAACAACTCGCATTTAGATTTTATGTAATCAATTTATTTGAGGGTTGTTAAAAATATGCAGGTGATACTTTAAGGATCTTGGTTGAGTGTAGAGCAGATTTTTTTTCCCTCAGAGATTGACTAGTGGTACTGTTCTGAAGCCCAGAAATACATTTGTTGTGATGCCAAGGACTAATGCATTGGGGTCTCTCTTGTGGCTATGGCACATAGTTTTATCTTTTTCTTTTAGGCCATGAGATCACTGAACTGGAAGCCTCATCTGGGAAATGTTGACCTGGAAATTGAGCTGGCAGATCGAACATTATCTGTGTCTGTCTCACCTGTCCATGCTGCAATCATTATGCACTTCCAACAGAAGAGTAAGTATTGCTGCCTAATTATTAAGGAATGAAACATAAATTTAGGTGAAATTCTCTCAACTAAACACAGAATGTTCATTGTTCACCTCTCCTTGGTGTATCAGGAAAACATCTGGAGCACGGGGACTCTGAATTTCCATTCTATTGCATAGAAAACCTTGTTTTTAACTCCTCCTAATTATTGTCAATATTGCCTTCTCAAATAAATGACCAGAAAAGAGGATTGATGCATATCAGAGTCTGTGGAGGGTGACTTTGAAGAAAAGATGCTTTTTGTTCCTCAGCTAGTTTTCTCCTATTTTCATCTCTATAATGAGCTGTGCAACTCCACGTGCACCATAGCTGATTCCAGTCCTGCCCTCACTCTGGGGATTCTACCATAGTCAGCTATTGGAGCCCTGGTTGATTTTTAAAAAGAATCTTTTTCCCTCGTTCATGCTTCTTAACTCAGGAGCTGAGACCAGTTACACCAACCCAACTCGGGCACTATGGTTCAGTTCCTCGTTAGCTCAGCTTGCCACGCATTGGAGAAATTGTAGAGTCATAGAGTCAGACAGCATGGAAAAAGACGCTTAGGTCCAACCTGTCCATGCTGACCAGAGATCCTAAACTGATCTAGTCCAATTTGCCAGCATATGGCCCATATCCCGCTAACCCCTTCCTATTCATGTACCTATCCAGATGCCTTTTAAATGTTAAAATTGTGCCCACCTCCTCTGGCAGCTCATTCCATATGCATACTACTCTCTGCTTGAGAAAGTTGCCCCTCTGCATGCATATAAATCTTTTCCCTCTCACCTTTAAACCTATGTTGAAACCTAACCTTGGAAAAAACACCTTGACTATTTACCCTATCCACACCCATCATGATTTTATAAACTTCTTTAAGGTCACCCTTCAGCCTCCACTCCAGGGAAAAAAGCCCCAGCCTATTCAGCCGCTGCCTATAGCTCAAACCCTCCAATCCTGCCAACATCCTTGTAATTCTTTTCTGAGCCCTTTCTTAAAACAGGGACACCAAAATTGAATGCAGTATTTTAAAAGTGGCCTCACCAATAACCTTTTTAGCTGCAACATGATGTCCCACCTCCTATACTCAGTGCACTGACCAATGAATGCAAGCATGATCAATGTCCCATTGTACTCTGAGATTATCTTCTTCATTGTCCACTAGACCACCAATTTTTGTGTCATCTGCAAACTTACTAACCATACCCCCTATATCCACAGTCCAAATCATTTATATAAAATGACAAAATCAGTGGACCCAAGACCAATCCTTGCAGCACACCGCTGGTCACAGGCCTCCAGTCTTGAAAAATAACTCTCTACCACCACCCTCTGTCTCCTACCTTCAAGCCAATTTTGTATCCAATTGGCTAGCTCCACCTGTATTCCATGTGATCTAACCTTGCTAACCAGTCTACCATGCGGAATGTACTTGAATGCCTTGCTGAAGTCGATTTATAGACAATATCTATCGCTCTGCCCTCATCAGTCCTCTTTGTCATCTCTTCAAAAAGCTCAATCAAGTTAGCGAGACACTATTTCCCACGCACAAAACCATGTTGACCATCCCTAATCAGTCCTTGCCTTTCCAAATGCATGTAAATCCTGTCCCTCAGAATCCCCTCCAATAACTTACCCACTACTGACATAGACTGGTGAGCCTAACAGTTCCCTGGCTTTTCCTTACCACCTTTCTTAAGTAATGGCACCACATTAGCCAGCCTCCAGTCTTCCAGCACCTCACCCGTGGCTGTCAATGATACAAATATCTCTGCTGGGTGCCTCACAATTTCTTCCCTATGTTCCCACAAAGTTCTGGGGTACACATAATCGGGTCCCAGAGAATTATTTAGCTTCAAGTGTTTTATACCTCCAGCGTCACCTCTTCTGTAGTATGGGCACTTTCAAAGACATCACTATTTATTTCCCATGTTCCCTCGCTTCCTTGTCCTTCTCCACAGTAAATACTAACAATGAAATATTCGTATCTCACCCATCTCCTGCGATTGCATACATTGACAGCCTTGTTGATGTTTAAGGGGCCCTGTTCTCTCCCTAGTTATTATTTTGCTGTTAATGTATTTGTAGAATCTCTTTAGATTCTCCTTAACTCTATTTGTCAAAGCTATTTCATGTCCCCTTTATGCCCTCCTGATTTCCCTCTTCAGTATACTCCTACTGCCCTTACACTCACTCAATCACAACTGTCTATATTTGACATTATGCCTCCTCCTTTTTTCTTGACTAAAGCCTCAATTTTTCTCGTCATCCAGCATTCCCTACACTTACCAGCCTTGCCCTTCGTACTAACAGGAGCATACTGACTCTGAAATCTCATTATTTCATTTTTGAAGGCCTCCCACTTTCCAACCACCCCTTTATCTGCAAACAGCCTCCCTCGATCAACTTTTGAATGTTCCTGCTTAATACTGTGAAAATTAGCCTTACTCCAGTTGAGAACTTTACGTTTTAGATCAGCTCTGTCCTTTTCCATAACTATTTTAAAACCAATATAATTATGATTATTGCCCTAAAGTGCTCCCCCACTGACACATCAGTCATCTGCCCTGCCTTATTTCTCAAGAGAAGGTAAAGCTTTGCTCCTTCTCTAGTAGGTATGTCCACATTTTGAATAAGAAAATTTTCTTGCACATGTTTAACAAATTTCTCTCCATCTTAGCACTTAACACTATGGCAATCCCAGTTTCTGTTTGGAAAGTTAAAATCCCCTACTGTTTACAACCCTATTATTCTTACAGATATCTGAGATCTCCTTACATATGTGCTTCTCAATTTTCCCTGCCTATTGTACAATCCCAATAATGTAGTGGTTTTATAGGATCCAGTGACTTTCTCTACTGAGAATTATTGCATTCTCTTGAGAACTGTTCGATTTTGAAATCGAACATGATGAAGTCCATAAAATAAATTTGCTCAGATGAGGAGATTAGACACGATGTGTTACTGCAGAACTAAAGCTGAGGTTTGTTGAATGTGTGCATCTACAGATACCTGGACTCTGGACGAGCTCAGTGATGCACTTAAAGTTCCTGTCGTTGCGCTGCGAAGGAAGATTGCTCTTTGGCAGCAGCAGGGGGTCTTAAAAGAGGATCCCACAGACACATTTACAGTGATTGAGGAGGAACAGAAAGATCAGCAGGAGAAAATGGTTTTAATTGATAGTGATGAAGAAGGAGACTCTGCTATGGCTTCCCAGGCTGATCAGAAAGAGGAGGAATTGCAGGTACAACTGTTTTAGTAAGTTATATTATGATACATTGCATGTGAGTAACTTGGTAGTCTTGTAGCCTTTGCTAAAATGGTCGAGGTTAATACTATATCTCCTTTACTATACATGGCATTGAGGTAATTGCAAAATCCCTGAAAAACATCTTAGCAATATAGAAATGCAGTGGACACATCAGTACCCATCCTGATACCACCATGTTAATGGCTATTCTTTGACCTCGTGTGTGTGGGCCTCGTGAAAATGGGACTAATGTCTCTCATATCTGAGAAATAAAGAAAGGTTGGTATTTACCTGGTGCTTTTTTACAGCATCAAGATGTCCCAAAAAACACTTAAAGCCTGAGAAGTACTTTTGAAGCACACTCACTAATGTAGGAAACATGCCAGCCAATTTTCACACATTCAGATCCCACAAGAGCATCATGGTGATGACGAGGTAGTAGTGATATAGTTGAGAGATTAATTTTTGTTAGCTAGGACACTTCTCCTCTTCATAATAGTGCCACTTGGCATGGCAGCTGGCACACCCTGTTTCAGCTAAAACATGAGGCCCTGGCGGCAAATAGCTGGATGAAATACAATGCTGTGGTACTGGATTTTCAGAAAGAGTCCTCAGTTTGACGAGTGCTTCTGGTATGACATGTTTTGGTACGTTATTTAAATGAAGCTGGCTAATTTGTGTTTCGCAGCTTTTCTGGACATACATCCAAGGTATGCTGACCAATCTAGAGAGCTTACCACTAGAGCGTATTCACACCATGCTCAAGATGTTTGTGATGACGGGCCCAGTAATGGCTGAGATTGATATGCAAGAGCTTCAAGCATTCTTGCAGAAGAAAGTAAAGGACCACCAACTAGTCTATTCTGGTGGAGTGTACCGGCTTCCCAAATCTAACTGCTGAATCGGGATCCTTGCTCAGAAAGGTAACTTATACGGTCTTTGTTTTCTGTTGGTTTTGAACATCTGAGCTGTGACTCTTAATACTAAAAGACAGCAATATTGATCCATGGGCTGTCATGATTTCCAGATAAATCAGCTTAGACTGCAGCTTTGGAAGCTGTCACTTCATGCAGTATAGTTGCCCTTCTGTCGCTAACATCAACCCCATATTCAAAGCACAGAAAATCCTGTTTTTAAGTCATGCTGTTATTACATCTGTGTGTATTCATATTAACAAGTTCCATTGTTTCATGCTGGGTCTGACGAGCCAATCAGCCCCATTTTGGAGCAGCCTGTTCCTCACTCCACCCTTCTTCTGTCTCAGCCTCCTAGCTTGTGGCCTTTCCTGCTCTGTGACCTGATGGATGGCTGCTGGGTCTCAAAGGCTATCCTTTGAAGAAGTAGCTCAAGTCAGCTGTTGGAGGTGCCAGTGCTAAATCTGAGAGTCATGGCATGGTCAGGTCCACCAATGGTCTGCTCAAAATGCCTTCACTAATCTGGCAGCTCTCTCCAGTACATGACTTTGAGAGTGTCCCTTGTTTGTAGGTGTTTGCTGTAGACTCCATAGGGTGCAATAGGATTGGGATCCTCTATCTGAGGAATAGTAACAATGTCCAATCGTTTTTGCTGAGTAGGAGCGGGATCCAGCAAAAGCCGTGCTCAGGAGCATCTCATTCGGCGTGAGACCAGGGAGGCTTTAATCTTGTGATGACTCCAGTCATTCATTCCATCAAAACATCCCATGTTATCTGGCCACTGTTTCCTCCTCCTTCCTTCCTTACCACAAGAAAGCTAATTATCATCTCTGACAATCTCAAATGTCGAAATTAAGACATTCAAACACGATCATCCATAGAATCTCTTGATGTCCTCTTGCACACAGTAAATAAACTGGTTCTCTTTGGGATGTTCAAGCAAAACAACATTTATTTACATACAATTTCAGTAGCATTTACAAATAATACAAATCATAAATGTACTCAATGTGGATGGGGGTTCATTGATTCTTTTCAGAACACGACAGCGTGGTGCTATCCTTTTGCTGCCTGCAGCAATGGAAACAGGCTACTGACCCTTAGGCCCCCTTGTCTGCAATTTGGCAGACATACTCCGAGGCTCCTGCATCCCTTTGAGTTGTACCTTTTTATGTTGTTTTTCCCCTTTACCTCTTACCTCTCACCTGACATAGGATTGAGCCATACACTCTGTGGAGTGGATCTTCACAGCACTTATTGCTTGGATGGATTCCTCCAAGATCTGCGCTAGAATACACAATCCCTTTAACATTTCACACTTGCCGACAACTGTAGAGGCTTGTCATCCATTAGGATTTGACAACTGGCTCACATCCAGCACTCCTCTGCTGCCAGAGTCCTGCTTCATCTCAGTTTCCAGCAGCTGCAGGTCTAACTATGATGTGCCTTCATTTGTTTCTAATTCCCCTCAGTCCGAAGCTCACTTCCCTACTAAAGTGCTATGATCTGTGCTGAGTGCAGAGCAAGTATGTGAGACACTGAGGCTTCCCCTTCTTCCTCAGAGGCTATTATAAGACCCCCCAGAAGTACCAACAGCAACCGAGTTTGTACAGAGACATAAATAAAGAAGGTAAAGGCTAGCTTCTACCTTTTGGGATGAACTCACAGAGACAGTCTTCCATATGGGCTACAATGCAAGCATTGAGATGTTACTTTTTTATTTGTACTTCACAGTTTCCAATATGCAATCATTCTTTCCTCCCCAAGGCAGGAGAACCTTCAAGAAAACAAAGCATCAATGCCTCATTCCTGACAACATACTAGACATCATGCGTACTTCTCTAAGCATTCCTAACTAATGTCTCTTTTTCAATTGGAAATGATGCCCCTTGCAATCCCACCCCAAGGTCCTCCTTCCTACTTCACCTCATCATTGGACTGGTGCCACCCATCCACCATGAGGCTTCAGCATCTTGTCATGTATAGGTGTTACAATGGCCAGTTTGGCGCACAGCCTGCAGTCTGCTTCTCTTACTGGCATTGTGCACCCTCTTCTCCTGTGCTTTAAAATGAGGCTTTGTAATGATTCTGAAACTCCTGCACAATTATTCCTTCACATGTATGATCTGTGAGAATTCCGCAGGCTGCACTCTGTGCACAATGATTAGCATCCAACAGACACCACCATAGGTTCGGGCCATTTACAGTGGCATATGTGCCTCATGTCACATCCATTTTCTTTTAAATACACAGGGTAATGTCTTCGTGGAGTCTTCCCGAAACTTTATATTGATGCAGCTCTGGAACGGAGTCTCTTTCACACACATCTTAGCGATTTCAGCACTGAATCCAGGTTGTCAGACACTGTCATTCTGTCCAGGATACTTTAATCAAACTGGGAGGTCTTTCTGTGTGTTATCACCTGTATCAAGATCCTGACTGATCATCAACTGATATGTTCATTAAAGTATACTTCTTTCAAAATAAGTGCTTACCTCTGTAAATAGTAAAATGAAGCACAAGAATCAACAAACCTTAAAAGTTCTGTATAACGTGAGTTTATTCACAACCAGAAGGTGAACAGTCAGTCACCCTTCGTAAAAAATACCTTTGGATAGAGTCTAAAGGTTTTTAACCAATTCATTATAGTTGATCCTATTGTTATGTGTAAGCTGCTTACCAGTGAACTTAAAGGTATTGGATCATTTCAGCGATGTGCAGATTAGAGCTTTTATCCTCACATCCATATCCAGAACCTGCAGCCCTTCTTAGTTTTCAAAATTAATGCTTCTGGTAGGTATTTTCCAACCCATTTAACCAAATGTCATAGTAATTAAAAAGGAAGGTATATGTTTCATGTTAATGACGGATATCCTGGAAACTGAGTCTTTACATATAATTGCATCACATCCATACAGTGGAGGAAAAATAATTGCTTTTCATCAAAATAAAATAAGTATTCATTCTTGGGTGCAAAATATTCATTTTATAATTGAATAGACAGCTTTCTGCATACTAATTTTATTTTCTTCCTTCACTAGATTGGTGGAGCTGATCTATGATTGAACTTGTGGCTTTCTTCCTGCTGTGATCTATGATCCAGAGCCATAACTTTGAAGGAATATTGATGCAACAGCAGTGTCCACTCAGCAGTAACTACAAGAAATTTAATTGTCTTAATAACTAAGATTCACCTGAATTCTTCTACACCAGAGACCTGTGGCAGAAATCCTGAAATTCTTTGTATAGATGCAGCTCCATAATGAACCTCTCTTTGGTAGGGAGTGAGATAACAACTTGTGGTGGAGACATGAGACATTTGTAAAGTGTACCTGAATTCTGAGGTACAAAATCCCGCAGGCACACAGGAGTAGATTTTCCACAGTAAGTAAATCCTATTGGTCTGACGGTTCACAGACAATCTTTACTGTCACCCCCTATGATCGTGAGTGAGCAATGTCAATCCATTAGTGATAACTGATATGCATTTGAGGCTTGGTTTGCAAATTCTTTTAATGTTACACTTGTACACTGTTTAGAATTACATTTCTGTTTAGAGATGGCTGTTTTGTTCTTGCCCAAAAGATCTAATAGATTTTGGCCTTTCCTCACTTTGTGATTATCCTATGAGAAGGGCATTTTTTCTACTTTTCCTGTTAAAATATTTTAAAATTTAGCACCTCTGCCTAAAACTTGACTTGCACTTATCAGGTACTTGGGAGTGGCATATACTCCTGGGATCTTGACTGTCTTTAAATTGAGGAGGGAAATAATTGAACTGCCATTTATCCAAAGCTTTAGTTATGATCATCTTTAAAGAATGGACTTAGACTCCGTGGATTGGTTCCAATCTGTGTTGTGATTCTGCACTAAAACTTTGTAGCCTTGTAACTAATTCAGGTTAATAACAGGAAGTTACAGATTCTCAGCCAGTGGGAACAGTTGCAGACAGTTGACAAGACTGACAAGAGACAGAAACTGAACTGTAACTCAGCAAACACACTGCACCTTGAGTTATTCGTAAACTGTGAGGGTGGCGGTGGTGGTGGTGGTGGTGGCGGCAGCGAGGTAGAGAGGAGGAAATGAAATTCCTATCAGCTTATTTAGCAAAGATACCAATGTGTTTACAATTGATGCTTATTTTCTCTATTTCACTTTACACGATGAATTGCTTATTTAAAAGATCTATGGATGCTGCATGTTTCAGTGTAATCAGCAGAATGTGCTATGTATTTTACACTATGTTGTGAGCATTGAATTGTGTTCTGACTAGGACAACAGTAACCAAAAACAGTGATGATATGTTTTCATCCCTTACTGGCTGAGGAATTATGATTTCTCATGATCCTGATTAAAATATACATAATTATTTGTTTTAAGAGTTCATTTGTACTTGAATACTGACTTGTTTGCTGGATAATGTACTATTATATTGGTCTTGTTCCCTACCAAGTTTTAAGGAAGATTCATCCACAGTTGGTATTCTTTTTTTTTTAGTTTCCATTTTCTATTCTATACTGAACAGTGTGCATTGAAATGTGATGAATGCTAAGGAAATCTCACATATATGGGATTGGGAAATCTTCATTTTTTGGAATATTTGCTACTTCTAATTAATGCCATCAGTTTTACTCCCTCTCATGCTTTTTTCCTCTCTCTTCCACCTCTCTGTGTCTCTCTCTCTTTCTCTCTGTCTATATATCTCCCTGTTTTATATCATTCTGTCAAGATAAGTGATTGAGCAAGTCCTAGACCTTTTTAACAGAGTGCATTGCCTTGTTCTACACCCTTTAGCATGAAGATATTTGTATTAACCTACCTTTAACTATTTCTGTGATTATATTCTGTCATGCCATGTTGCAGTCCAGTGGAAACATACTGTTGTAAGGGGCCACATTTTTTTTTCTGTTTAGACTATAAACCGGGAAATGAAAGTCTGATACTGCTGTATAACTATAACATGAGAAGAGCTTTGTAATTTGTAAATCAATTAGATATTGTGGTATATAATTTTGACTACACAAGACTGTGTTGCTTTTGGTGCAGTGAAGTTGTTATAAGAAACAGTGACAGCAGGAGCCTTTGAATCAAGGAAAACTGCCTGATGACAGCCCTTGGATTGGTCCAGCTACATTCAAATATGATGCAGCCAGAAACAAACAAGAAAACATCTCTCTCTGTACCTCTGTGTGAGCAAGGAGACAGAAACAAAACCTAAAGACTCTTAAAAAGAAAGGTATTTTCTTGTCCCAAAATTCAAGGTCTACCTGATCAGCTGCTGAATTGAAGATCAGCCATTTCCCTGCAATCAGATTGTGTTATAATTGCTTAAAATAAGGGAACTGAGAAATACTCTCCACCTTGGGCTAGACTTTTGACCTATAGAATCTGTTTTCCCTATGTATACGTTTCCACTCATTTGTGTTGAGTCATCTCTTTTTGTCTTGTCTTATTCGAATGAATATGTATGCACTTGGGCTTTTAAACCATTGCATTGTTAGGGAGTGGGGGGAGGATGGAGGATGGAGGAGGGAGGAGGCACATTTCAATTTTTCTCGTGGGGTATGGATAGGGCCACAATGACAAACATGAACTCCATTAAAAAAATTCAGAAGCTTTAAACAGTTAAGTTGAATGCCTTCTTGAGGACAACTAGGGTTGGGCGAGAAATGCTGGCCAGCCAGTGACACCCACATCCCACAAATGAATAGGGGGAAAAAAAAATAATTAATAGAAATGATCATTACAAAGTGCCAGACAGCAGAGCTTAGTAAATTTTCACCTTTTTGATTATTAAGAAGCAAAGCTAGAGAGAGAGAGCATGAGGGAAAGAGTCAGACCCGATTCACGATCACCAGAAGAGAGGGTGATGACTAGGAGAACGTCGTCACCCCCTTTCTTGGTTTCACTAACCTTAAATGACCTATGGTGGGCCACGCTGAGCTGAACTGGCCTCTTTGGAATTCAGATGAAAATGAGGGTTGGAGGTGAATTGACTTTAAGCTTGGAATTTCCTCTACTCTCAGCCTGTTTGCCTTCCATCATTTTCTTCTTTTTCCACACTTTTAGACCTTTCCCTCCTTTTTTACACCTCCCACCCCAGCCCCTCGTTCCACATTCTGTTTTACTTTGTCTCCTTTAACTTCATGTGACTTTGAGCTCAGACCATTCTTCAGGAGAACTTTTTGTTTAGGAAAACAAATTTCACCAGGAAAATTAATGACCTTGCATAGCATAACTGCTTGAAAATGTTGTTGACGATGCATTGTAACATAGGTCTCTGAGATGGGAATCTGCTGCGAGAACTTCATGTACTGCCAGGCCTGCTGCTTGCTCAGGGAGACCTCCAAGGTCCGGGCACAGCAGCGACTTTTGAAACTGGCAGCCAGTGTTGGGAATGGTGTTGGCATGTTGTGCAGCTTGGAGGGAATGTTGTCTGAGATATGCCAAACCTTATCAGTCACTCCCTGGTAACAACTCCATGGTCAGAACCTGGCCTGCTGCCTACTGCTTCCTCGGCTTTTGGTGACAACAATGACTTCGGCTGACTGTTTCTATCTAGCCAGGAGGACATGATTCTCCAACCCTGTACTCCTTCTTGACTTTGATTGTCATGGCCACCTAGATACCTCCAATAAGAAGATGAACCCTCAGCCAGGTCTACCAGTGCATTGTCAACAACTTATTCTTGCATAAGAAGAGCAAGGCAGACCAGCAGAGCTCCATCTACCACACCCTGTATATAAACGGCTGTTTCAGAATGTTGCCCAGGGAAGAGCATAATCCAGCTGAGACGACAACCCCTGCTCTCAAAATCCCCTACCCAGACCTAGCTCCCACTCATTTCCTCCAAGAAATACTGCACCTGCCAAAGATCTACGGTGAAAAGAGAAAGCTGTCCATTCCCAGAGCCTGCCTCTGGTCTCACCATCATGGTCTGAGGCCTTGGGCTGCTTACTGCTCCTCTTATAACAGGGGGCTTCTGATGTACATTCGCTGCTTATAGGCTCACCAACCAGTCTGCAACAGCACACATGGGAGAGAACAGGTAGCTCCTTACAAAATCTGAGAGTGAGCTGTAAATTAAACATCATCGTCTGAAATGCTGTGGAAGGCAGTATGTGACCTACCTGCATGCTGTATATATAATTCATATTATCGTAAGTAATCTTTTATTTTTACCAGTTATTAAAGAGTATGTTTGTTCGCAATAAATAATTATTTTCCTATTCATGATAAAACCTGTTGTGAATTGCATTTTCCTGAGTAGTTGTTCATCAGGCTAATTGATTAACTTGCTGGTCTAATTGGGTAATTAAGCATTTGTGGTGGGTTGTGGAACAGTGGAGCTCGATTATCAGCATAAACTTCCCAATTGTGTTGTAACACCATCATAACTCTTCATGATCTGGAATTCTGTCAGAGTAACCCTCAACCTTTCAACTAGTAACCTTCACATGCCTTTCCTCATAACGACATTATCTCTTACCCCTGCTAACATCCCAGTGAATCTATTGTGCATCTTCGCCATTGCTCTTGTATCCTTCCTACAATACGCTGTAGTCTAAAATAACTTTTTGACCTTTTCAAAAAAACAAACCTTCACGGAAGGCTGAGGGGTGACCTTATAAAGGTTATAAAATCATGACGGGCCTGGATAGGATGAATAGCCAAGTACTTTTTCCTAAGTTGGGCAGAGGCTTAAGGTGAAAGGGAAAGGTTTTAGAAGGACCTACAAAATGCCGCAAAACTGACAGCCGTACAATGCTTGCAATCACCAATGACGCGGTTTGAAACAGGTGAATAGCCTATGCAGTCACCATCTGACCCACTGATCAGACACAATCTCCTGAGCTAGCTGATTATGCTCATGGCGAATAGCACATCATTTTAAGGTGCACCATATTACCCTAATTGGATGTAGTGGGGAGGGCAGCGTACAACTTCTGGGTAAGGTAGAGAATACTTTTATGCAGGGTAGCCATCTGATCCAAATCCTGCAAATACCCATATTGGTTGTTACCAAAGTCCAATTTAGGAAGTTTTCAGCAATTGTCTGTAATTGCTTAGGGGTATATGGTACCACGTATTGGTATTCCATTTCCCTATCCTGCTGTTAGCATCCAGCTTACGTCAGCTTTGATTATAATGGCTGTTGGTGTATATCTACAGGAGTTCTGGGGTGGGGCTGTCCACTCGACTGTCCCGTTTCCTAAATATTGCTTCCTCATCGTCTGACTTGAGAACACTAATACCCCCTTGCCCTTCATTACACACTGTACCTCTCTTGTTCACTTCAGAACTTCACATAGCCTGTCCACTTTATCCTAATATAGGCAATGATTCCTTTCCTGGTACTGTCTTTGGGACTTTTCTTTGACCCACCATTGATAGACTATTTTCAGCTCTGTACACTGTGGTTCTGCTATCTCAGCACTGCCGTGCTGTTTAAATTCCTTTTCTGTCAGACTGTCACACTGTTTTAATTATTGACACACTCACTTCAAACGAATTGCACCCAGCTCCACCACTTTTCCTGTATTTACTTGCGTTTTTCTGATTCTTCTCATCTCCACCTCTTCTCAAGCTGTTTCAACAACCTCTTCACAACTGCCTCCTGCTCATCTAGTTTTTATTTCAATTGCCCTGTCTCTTTTTTTGTGAATGATTTTCTTTTCCTTGATATGCTATTTACCAAATGGCCTCTTTTTCATTCTTGACTTACAAGTAGACCTCCCCAACCCTCTCCCAGTCCACTTGTCTGCTTCCTGGACTGGGTCCTCCCCAAAATAACCTGAACTGATCCTTAAGTGGAACCTGTTTTGTCTTGTAAACTTCAGTCACTTCTTTTATTTCATAGCCTGGTCATTTCTTTATCTTCAGCTCTCTTGGCTGGTTTGCCAATAATCTGTAGGCTTTTATTAGCACATTCCCTGGTCCATCGAGTTACTCTGGATATCGGTAACCCAAAGCAGTAATAGCAACGGGATGTACCCAATGTTCTTTATTAAGACAAAGTACACTATAAAACTACTGCAAAAATATTACCCATACAACGCTTACAATCACAACTGAATTGTTTATTTGTACTTGTCCAAGGATCAGACCAGAAATAAATGATCAACCTGATCTGTTCCAATCTTCAGCTGCTGATCAGATGACCTGCTGATCTTGGTAAGTATGCTCTTAGACAAGCTTTCTTTATACTCTGTTACTATATAGACAGACCGTAGGTTGAAACACACAGTGTTCAGTTTCCAGCAAATGAACAGTTTGTCCACTGGAAAACATCACAGACGTGACATATTGGCCATGTCGGTTTGATCATTTAACTCATTAAGATTTGCTTGTGTCGTCTTGGAAGGAGGCTTACCTTTTGGA